CCACACACACCACACACCCCACACAAGACACCACACACACCACACACACCACACACCACAACACACCACAACACACCACACACACCACACACACCACAACACACCACACATCACACCACACACACACACCACACACACACCACACACGCACCACACACCACACACACCACACACACACACCACACACACACCACACACCACACACACACACACACCACACCACACACACACACCACAACACACACACACCACACACACACCACACACACACACCACAACACACACATCACACCACACACAACACACACACCACACACACACCACAACACACACCACAACACACACCACAACACACACCACAACACATACCACACACAACACACACACACAACACACACACCACAACACACCACACACAACACACACACACCACAACACACACAACACACACACACCACACACGACACACACGTGTTGTGTTCATGGGGCACTCACTATTGAGTTTTGGGGCCTTAAAATTAAACAAAAATCTCGGCTATACTAATAGGGGTTTCCCCTTTTTTCTGGCAACAAAACTGACAACTTTTTGCAAGGCATCATGCTTACATTAACCACGATACTTGCAGTCAAATGCAAACAAAAAACAATACTCTGATAATGTATGCATTGTCTTTGAAACTGATTGGTCCAAACCAGAGACAGCTTTCCTTAGAGCCTAGTCTCACATGGTGTTGGACCAGATGACGCCAAAAGGCGCACAACTCAAAGACAACGCACCATCAGAGTATGAGAGCTCGGGGTAAAGCATTTACACCATTGGAACCTCATTTGCCAGTAAAAAAATATGATAATGTGGTTTTTTACCCTTCTATCTGGCAACAAAACTGACACCTTTTTACAAGGAGTCATGTTTGCATTGACCAGAATACCTGCAGTTATAATGCAAACAAAAAACACAACTCTGATAATGATATGCACTGTCCTTGAAGTTGATTGGTCCACACCCGAGACAGCTTTCCTTAGAGCCTAGTCTCCATTGGTGTTGGACCAGATGACGCCAAAAGGCGTACAACTCAAAGACAATGCACCATCAGAGTATGAGAGCTCGGGGTAAAGCATTTACACCATTGGAACCTCATTTGCCAGTAAAAAATATGATAATTGGTTTTTTAACCCTTCTATCTGGCAACTAAACTGGCAACTTTTTTTTCACATGACTCCTTGTAAAAATAAGGTGTCAGTTTTGTTGCCAGATAAAAGGGTAAAAAAACAATTATCATCTTCTTGGTTCTTTCGGTAAAGTCACGTAGAAGGGAAGTAATAAAATAATAAAAATAAAACAAAATAAAATAAAATATTATATTTTATTATTATATTATTTTATTATGTTTTATTTTTATTATTTTATTACTTCCCTTCTACGTGATGACTTTACCGAAAGAACCAAGAAGATGAATCCCTGCAGTCACGAAAGCTTTAAATCGAAACAATTATCATATTTTGCTACTGGCAAAGGAAATTCCAATGGGGCTGAAGCGTTCGCTACGCCTGCGATGACGTCACAAACGCCAGCGCGTCTCTCGTCGGTGACGTCATTTAGCGTCACTCCCGCGATGACGTCACACCGCCGGCGTATTGTCTCTCGTCGGTGACGTCAATCAGCGTCACTCCCGCGATGACGTCAAAACGCCGGCGTGTTGTCTCTCGTCGGTGACGTCAAACCGCCGCCGGCGTGTGTCACTCGTCGGTGACGTCAAACCTCCGCCGGCGTGTGTCTCTCGCCGGTGACGTCATACCTCCATCGGCGTGTGTCTCTCGCCGGTGACGTCAAACCTCCGGCGGCGTGTGTATCCCGCCGGTGACGTCATACCGCCGCCGGCTGCATGTCTCTCGCCGGTGACGTCATACCGCCGGCTGCGTGTGTATCCCGCCGGTGACGTCATATCGCCGTCAGCTTGTGTCACTCGTCGGTGACGTCATACCGCCGTCGGCTTGTGTCAATCGCCGGTGACGTACGCGGTCACGTGACGGTTCCCGCTTCTTGTTGATGGCAGCAGCGCCTCCTGCGACTAAAACTTCACCTGAGTCGACTAAACAACAACAACAACAACCACCATCATCATCCTCCTCATCATCATCACTCCTCATCATCATCAACCTCTTCAGGGGAGGAGGGAGGGAGGGAGGAGAGCCATGAAGAGAGGCGATGATGCGCGCGCCGTGCTGACGAAAGAGGCTCAATCCAAGGCAAGGCCGCAGTTTCCCCTCATGAGCCTGTCGCCACACTGACGCCGAAAACTTTTATCTTCTTCTCAATCACCGTCGTTGTAATTTTAGTCGTAATTAGCAGCGTTCTAATGCTTATAATCGTCGTGAGAATTATAATAATTGTCGTTGTTGTAATTGTAATTATTATGAATGTCGTTATTATCCACACCATTAGCATCAGCATCATCATCAATATTCGTGGTGGTTCCGCTGGTATCATTAAAGTGTTGACTGTTGCTCAGTGGGTGAGTGGGTGGGTGAGTGGTTGGGTGAGTGAGTGAGTGGGTGACTCGGTGGGTGGGTGGGTGAGTGAGTAAGTGGGTGAGTGAGTGAGTGGGTGAGTGAGTGGGTGGTGAGTGAGTGGGTGAGTGAGTGAGTGAGTGGGTGAGTGAGTGAGTGGGTGAGTGAGTGAGTGGGTGAGTGAGTGAGTGGGTGAGTGAGTGGGTGGGTGAGTGAGTGAGTGGGTGAGTGAGTGAGTGAGTGGGTGAGTGGGTGAGTGAGTGGGTGAGTGAGTGAGTGGGTGAGTGAGTGGGTGGGTGAGTGAGTGAGTGAGTGGGTGAGTGAGTGAGTGAGTGGGTGAGTGGGTGAGTGAGTGGGTGGGGTGAGTGAGTGGGTGGGTGAGTGAGTGGGTGAGTGAGTGAGTGGGTGGGTGAGTGAGTGAGTGGGTGAGTGAGTGAGTGAGTGGGTGAGTGAGTGGGTGAGTGAGTGAGTGGGTGGGTGAGTGAGTGAGTGGGTGAGTGAGTGGATGAGTGGGTGGGTGAGTGGGTGGGTGAGTGAGTGGTTAGGTGAGTGGGTGGGTGAGTGGTTAGGTGAGTGGGTGGGTGAGTGAGTGGGTAGGTGAGTGAGTTGGTGGGTGAGTGGGTGAGTGAGTGGGTGGGTGAGTGAGTGGGTGAGTGAGTGAGTGAGTGGGTGAGTGGGTGAGTGAGTGAGTGGGTGAGTGGTTGGGTGAGTGGGTGGGTGAGTGAGTGAGTGGGTGAGTGAGTGGGTGAGTGGGTGGGTGAGTGGGTGGGTGAGTGAGTGGTTAGGTGAGTGGGTGGGTGAGTGGTTAGGTGAGTGGGTGGGTGAGTGAGTGGTTAGGTGAGTGAGTGGGTGGGTGAGTGGGTGAGTGAGTGGGTGGGTGAGTGAGTGGGTGAGTGAGTGAGTGGGTGAGTGAGTGAGTGAGTGGGTGAGTGAGTGAGTGGGTGAGTGGTTGGGTGAGTGGGTGGGTGAGTGAGTGGGTGAGTGGTTGGGTGAGTGGGTGGGTGAGTGAGTGAGTGGGTGAGTGAGTGGGTGAGTGAGTGAGTGGGTGAGTGGGTGGGTGAGTGGGTGAGTGGGTGGGTGAGTGAGTGAGTGAGTGGGTGAGTGAGTGGGTGAGTGAGCGAGTGAGTGGGTGAGTGAGTGGGTGAGTGAGTGGGTGGGTGAGTGAGTGAGTGGGTGAGTGAGTGAGAGTTTTCCAGTCTCAGTGTTGGGGGTCTCTGTGGTGCGGGCAACCTCGCCAGGAGGCTATCAACTCCTGTTGTGCTTGCTGTTGTTGTTGTGACAGTGGGTGGGTGAGTGGATGCGTGGGTGGATGAGTGAGTGATTGGGTGGGTGGGCGAGTGATTGGGTGGGTGAGTGAGTTGGTGGGTGGGTGAGTGATTGGGTGGGTGGGTGAGTGATTGGGTGGGTGAGTGAGTGAGTTGGTGGGTGAGTGAGTGAGTTGGTGGGTGAGTGAGTGAGTGGGTGGGTGAGTGAGTTGGTGGGTGAGTGAGTGAGTGAGTTGGTGGGTGAGTGAGTGAGTGGGTGGGTGGGTGGGTGAGTGAGTTGGTGGGTGAGTGAGTGAGTGAGTTGGTGGGTGTGTTAGTGAGTGAGTTGGTGGGTGGGTGAGTGAGTTGGTGGGTGAGTGAATGAGTTGGTGGGTGGGTGGGTGGGTGAGTGAGTGAGTGAGTTGGTGGGTGGGTGAGTGAGTTGGTGGGTGGGTGAGTGAGTTGGTGGGTGGGTGAGTGAGTGAGTTGGTGGGTGAGTGGGTGAGTGAGTTGGTGGGTGAGTTGGTGGGTGGGTGAGTGAGTGAGTTGGTTAGTGAGTGAGTGAGTTGGTGGGTGAGTGAGTGAGTGAGTTGGTGGGTGAGTGAGTGAGTTGGTGGGTGAGTGAGAGTTTTCCAGTCTCAGAAGGTCCGGGTGGATTTATATAGAAACTCTTATTGTAGTATAAACTGTTGTAATATAAACTTGTAATATAAACTGTTGTTGTAATATGCATTGCACTTATATTATGAACGAGGACACACATACAAAGATCCCCCGTATAGCCTTCACAGACTGTTGGGGCAAGTGCTGTTAGCGAGCACCTATCCACTACGCCACCGCTCTTCACTTCAACACACACACGTGCGCGCACTCACATACACAGACACACACGTACACAGACACACACGTACACAGACGCACTCGTACACAGACGCAAACACATACACAGACACACACGTACACAGACACACACACGTACACAGACACACACACGTACACAGACACACGTACACAGACACACGTACACAGACACACTTACACAGACACATACACAGACACACACACGTACACAGACACACACACGTACACAGACACACACACACGTACACAGACACACGTACACAGACACACACATGTACACAGACACACACGTACACAGACACACACGTACACAGACACACACGTACACAGACACACACACGTACACAGACACACACAGACACACACGTCCGCGCACACGAACACACACACACGTACACATACGTACACACGCACACGTACACATACGTACACACACGCACGTACGTCACGGCATTGTGACATGGTGCCGACCGCCGTTTGTTTGTCGCTTGCCTAGGTGGTGATGAGGAGGCTGCCCCCGCATCTCACCAGCGAGCAACTCCTGGAACAAATCTCTCCTCTGCCTGACCACGACTACTACTATTTTGTGCCCGCGGACCTGAGGTATCGGTAGCCGCCCGGTGTCTCTCTCTGCGCGTCACCGCGTCTCTCTCCGTGTCTCTCTCCGTGTCTCTCTCCGCGTGTCCCCGAGTCTCTCTCCGCGCGTCCCCGCTTCTCTCTCCGTGTCTCTCTCCGCGCGTCACCGCGTCTCTCTCCGTGTCTCTCCGTGTCTCTCTCCGCGTGTCCCCGAGTCTCTCTCCGCGTCTTTCTCCGCGTGTCCCCGAGTCTCTCTCCGTGTCTCTCTCCGTGTCTCTCTCCGTGTCTCTCTCCGCGTGTCACCGCGTCTTTCTCCGCGTTTCTCTCCGCGCGTCACCGCGTATCTCTCCGTGTCTCTCTCCGCTTGTCCCCGAGTCTCTCTCCGTGTCTCTCTCCGCGCGTCACCGCGTCTCTCTCCGTGTCTCTCTCCGTGTCTCTCTCCGTGTCTCTCTCCCCGCGTCACTGCGTCTCTCTCCTAGTCTCTCTCCGAGTGTCCCCGAGTCTCTGTCCGCGCGTCACCGCGTCTCTCTCCGTGTCTCTCTCTGTGTCTCTCCGTGTCTCTCTCCGCGTGTCCCCGAGTCTCTCTCCGTGTCTCTCTCCGCGCGTCACCGCGTCTCTCTCCGTGTCAATCCAGATGATGACGATGGTTTTAAAAGTGCCGCACAGCTCTCAGTAGCTTCGTAATAACGGAAGGAGGAAGAGCGTTCCAGACGGCCACAAAGGGGGCGTGTTCCTAGAAGAGCCGCATGATGCTGCGGTGACCACCATCTTTTTTGGAAGGACCCCCCCCCCCCCCGTGTACCCCCCCCCCCCCCCGTGTAACCCCCCCCCCGTGTGTGTCTCTCTGCAGCCTGCGTCCGCATGCGTTCTGCCGGGCCTACATCAACTTCTCGTCCAGCGAGGGCGTCCTGGAGTTCAGGGATCGCTTTGACGGCTACGTCTTCATCAACGAGAAAGGTGACTGATCAGGGTGGCCGGGGGGGCGTGACATCCACCAGGCACCCAGCCGGGCGGGTGGCTGTGGTGGTGGTGGCGGTGGTGGCGGTTGTGGAGGTGGCGATGGAGGTGGTGGAGGCAGAGGTGGTGGTAGCGGCGGTGGTGGTGGTGGTGGTGGCGGCGGTGGCGGTGGTGGCGGTGGTAGCGGTGGTAGCGGTGGAGGCGGTGGTGGCGGTGGTGGTGGTGGCGGTGGTGGTAGCGGCGGTGGTGGTGGTGGCGGCGGTGGTGGTGGTGTTGGTGGCGGTGGTGGTGGCGGCGGTGGTGGTGGTGTTGGTGGCGGTGGTGGTGGCGGCGGTGGTGGTGGCGGCGGTGGTGGTG